GATGACAGGGGTGGGTAAGCCACTGATATCTGGCTTAATAGCCATATTTGGCTAGTGGCTACTGTGTTGGCCAGGGTGGGCCTAAAGGCTGCTGTGTTGCTGCTGCACTAGCACAGAACTCTCTGAGAACTTTGTCTGCCAATGTGTCCACCTATGGTCACCTTGGACTAAGCTGCACATTCCACTCGAGTGTTCCCCATGAACTGTGTTCTCTTCCCTCCCTCTAATCTTTCTTGTGGTGTTGCTTGGTGTTACTTGCCAATGTTTACCTCCACCAGCTGGAATGAGTGGTAGATGTATTTGGGATGCCACTTTAGAACACAGCCAGTTCCCTGGGGTGGGTTGGGAGGTTATAAGGAATGAGACCCTTACACTCCAAGTTCAAACTTGCATGGACATGACAGACCATAACACACATCTACACATGTCAGCAAGCATTCTGGGCTTCTAGCCAACAAGGGCTCAATGAGGCTTAGCATGACATGATATCACAAGAAGCTCTATGAGTCTTCTCTGGGAAAAGCTGCCTTTTACACAGGCTTGCCATCCTGCTTGATGGTTTGGCTATTTCTTTCTGCCCAACAAAATACCCTACTTTTTTTGGGGGGGGGTCTGGTCGTGGGGCCTGAACTCTGGGTCTGGGCGCTATACCTCAGCTCTTCAGCTCAAGGCTAGTGCTCTACCACTTGAGCCACAGCGCCACTTCTGGATTTTTTCTTTTTGCTTATGTGGTGCTGAGGAATTGAACCCAGGGCCTCAGGCATGCAAGGCAAGTGCTCTACCACTGAGCCGCGCCACTTCTGGCTTTTTTCTTTTTGCTTATGTGGTGCTGAGGAATTGAACCCAGGGCCTCAGGCATGCAAGGCAAGTGCTCTACCACTGAGCCACCTTCCCAGCCCCCTAAAAGTGTTTTTGATTGTTGTTGTTTGTCGGTTGTGGCACTTGACTCTGGGCCTGGGCACTGTCACTGAGCTCTTCAGCTCAAGGCAAGTGCTCTACCACTTGAGCCACAGTGCTACTTCCAGTTTTCTGGTGGTTAATTGGAGATTAGAGTCTCGTGGACTTTTCTTCATGGGCTGGCTTTGAACCATGATCCTAAGATCTTAGCTATGATTACAGGCATGAGCCACTGGTGCCCTGCTTAAATGTATTATTATTACTACTACTACTATTATTATTGTGCTGACCTGCAGCTTGAATTCAGGGCCTGGGTACTATCCCTGTTTTTTTTTTTTTTTTTGCTCAAGGCCAACACTCTACCACTTGGAGCTACACTTCCACTTCTGGTAAAAGAATCAAGATATAAAGCCATTCTTTTTATATAAAAATCATTTAATGTTTTTTTTCCCATTAAAATACACTCAATCTAGATGCAATGAATCAGGTGACCAGATTTTCAGAATTCTTACTCCACCAGGATCTGATTTCACCTGTGTCATCCCAGAAGCTGGTCACAGAACATCCATGTCTTTAGTATTGTGATGCAGATGATAAAATCACTACCTAACATATGTGCCTATGGTTATTTGGTGGCCATCGCACAAGCTATCAACAGTGCAAGCTCAAAAAAATAAAGATGTATAGTAACTTGGCCCTTTCCAAAAATAAATATATTAGGACATTAAGCTTACATCTTAAATGAGTACAAAATAAATAGAAATGAAGTGCTAAGCTCCTGTGAGGAGCAGCGCATGCAGAGACAATGAACTTGACTGTGTGGCCGCTGGCATCCCAGAGTGCCTCCTCATTGCCACTCCTGAGGAGTGTGAGGATGCAAATGGCAACAGCACACAGCTCAGCCCTGCTGCTGGTCCCATGTTCAGTTGGGGCTTGGGAGTTCACTGCCATTTCTAACCGTTTCCAACAGGAAGCATGCCATGTTCTTTTCTTCCATGTCACTCCTCTCAAGCTGTGTGTCCCTGAACCGATCAAGGAAACTTAGTTTTTCCAGTTTGAGTAGATAAATCCTAGGACTGCTAATTTGTGGACATGGATTGCTTAAGCAGCATGGTTCTTTGTTATGAGGATTTTCATCCTCTCCCTCTTTGCTGTGGAGAGCACTTTCATTTGAATGAGAGCTTCAGTTTAGTTCCTGTGTGAGCCTCAAGTTCTATTTCTTCGCCCCACTCCCTTCACACTTCTCCAATCTTCAGCAGCACTGCAAAAAACAGTATTCAAGCTGCCTGTCATGTTCTGACAGCAAGAACAGGCTTATCTAAAGACTTTATACGGTCAGGGTCAGGAAGTCTTCCAAAGGATGCAGACAAGAGGAAAAAGCACCATGCACACAACCATCTAAAATACAACCATGGAAATTAAGAGTTTAACAATATTCTGGATAGTACCAAATAGATTAAACTGTTCTTGAAACAAAAAACATGTAATTCCCTTGAGAAAAAAAGCCAGATCTGAGTGTTATGGCCTATTAGTAATAAATAGGACCACCAATGTCATAAAAAGAATCGATGTGACATTTAATGTCGTTAGTATTGCCTCTAATTAGTATTATCACAGATAATTGATTGCTACCATGAAATTCATAAAACATGACTATTCTATTCATGGGCATCTAGAGGAGGGTCTTTTACTCTGTCAAATCAGTTTCATTGTGGCCCATTACGTAGCAGTGGTTGAGGCTGGAGAGAGAACTTGGTATTTGTCTCTACCAGCCATCAAAGCCTCCTTTCTTTATCCATGTCCTAACTTGATGCAACATGGATGATCCGAAGGGAGAAAGTACTTTGGAGCTCAACTGTGCTGTAGACTTTCCTTCCAACAGGAACTTTTCTTTCAAAACAAAGAAGGAATAGAAAGAAGAGTGTAAACTACAGTCACCTAGTGGTCCTTTCAATTCAGGGACTTATGGAGAGCTTAATCCTAGTGGCTCACCTCCCCAGTAAGTCCTGGAACTTCAGAGCCCAGGCAATGCCTGCCTTGTTACTAGTGGGAAAGGCTGACTTTTTGCCTTCTAGGGACCTCAATGTATGTTGGGAGGTCCTAGTTATCTTGCATTTTATGTCTTTTTTTTTCTTTTCTTTTTTTTTTTTTTCCAGGGATGAGGACCGAACTCAGGGCCTTGCGTGTGCCGGGTGGGCGCCCTTCCGCTGGGCTAAACCCCCAGCCCCGTTATCTTGCATTTTAAAGACCAGAAGGGAGGTCATCCTGGATATGGGAAGGATAGATGCAGGGGCAGGAAGGTTTGGAGGGCAGAGGTATCCTGGGGCAAGATTCTGCCTGGCCAATCTGGCTAGAGTCCACCTGAAAAATAAGGACAATCTCTCATATTTTCACAGGTTAGCCATTATCCTCTCCAGGCCAGTGCTCTCTCATAAAAAGAGATTAATAATCTACAGAACTGTGTGGAAGCTTAAGTAAAAACACAAGAGATCCTTGATGTAATTTATAGTAGGCACTCAATAAAAGTTGAATAAATTGCTAGGAACCGGTAGATTACACCTGCAATCCTAGCTACTCAGGAGGCTGAGATCTTCGGATAATGGTTTGAAGCCAGCCTAGGCAGGAAAGTCTGTGAGACTTTCATCTCCAATTAACCACCAAAGAAAAGCCAGAAGTTGCTGGGTGCTGGTGGCTCACGCCTTTAATCCTAGCTACTCAGGAGACTGAGAACTGAGGATCGTGGTTCAAGGCCAGCCCCATCAGGAAATTCCCTGAGACTCTTATCTCCAATAAACCTCTCAGAAAACCGGAAGTGGCACTGTGGCTCAAGTGGTAGAGTGCTAGCCTTGAGCTGAAGAGCTGAGAGACAGTGCCCATGCCAGAGTTCAAGGCCCACAACCCACAGAAAGAAAAAGAAAAAAGAAAAGCCCGAAGTGGAGCTGTGACTCAAGTGGTAGAACACTAACCTTGAACAAAAACAAACAAAAAGCCCCAGGAACCTGGGCACTGGTAGCTCACATCTGTAACTCTAAGAACCTATAAGGCTGAGATCTGAGGATGGAGGTTCAAAGCCAGCCCAGGTAGGAAAATCTGCGAGACTCTTATCTCCAATTAACTACCAAAAACCTGGAAGGGGCACTGTGGTTCAAAGTGGTAGAGTGGTAGCCTTGAGCATAAAAGCTCAAGGATAGTACCCAGGCCCTGAATTCAAGCTTGAAGACCTACAAAAACCCACCACCACCACCACCACCACCAACAAAACCCAGGACCAGCCACACTCAAATAAAAGATGGATAAAAAAATCACCTTACACTACAAACTATGTATAGCACTGGGTTAAACAAAATGACAGCAGAACCCAACACTAACCTCTACCCTTACCCCAAGCCATAGAGGGAGAATCTTCGCCTTCCATCTCTAGGCTTGAGCCATAACCTGATTTTCTGAGTATGACTCCTCTTGGATCTAATGACTGTACCTCTGAGGAATGGAGGAACTCAATTCAGGGGTGATAATACTACACAATTACAATAAAGGGAAATGACACAAAACATTCTCTGGTTCTACGTTGTCTTAGGGATCTACACTAAGAAGCTGAAATGAAGTCTTCCACTTCATCTTCTCCTTGACCCTGCTTCTTGCTGCTGAATTTCCCCTATCTGTTTCACAGCACAACTGATTTTAATTTCTGGATTCTCTGAATGGAGGCTGGGATAACAGAGAGCTATTGGCTTGACAGCTTAAGTTCCCAGGGCTATTTCTCAAGAGAGATAATGAATTTTATGTAGGGAGATGATTCTTGGCAGATGCTATACATAATATGGAACTGCTCTGGCAAAGCCCAGGAATGCCTGGGTATTAAGATCACTGAAGATGGGAGAAAGGAAGAGAATCGTTGATGCGTTCTGGGATGCCCTGAACAATATTCACAAAGGCAGGGTAGGCATGAAGCAGGGAGGCTGAGTGGATGCTTTGCCATTCATATAACTTAAATGAAATGTTTCTGTCCCAGGAGCCACTCCCCAGGAAGGACTCTGTGATGACAAGTCTGGCTCATGCTCAAGCCCCCTCAACCCTGCCCAAAGTTCACAAATAGTAAAATGTTCATTATTTCCTAATTTTGTATTATAAAATGGACTTGGGAACCTAAGAAGTAACGAGTAACAAAACCCCAAACCCTGTGTAGGACCATCATCCTCTCAACCACCTCTGTGGAGGCCAATAAGTTTGGAAAGTTTTTCACAGTTTTCAAGTTTCAGCGACTCTGCTTTCTGTTTCAATCGTTCATCTCTGTATAATCCTGCCAAATTTGTCAACTCCGACTCTGAAAGACAAAAGAGGTAACCAGTTCATCAAGGGGGTTGAGCTCTTTGTCTCATTTCACATTTCTGGAATTTTCGTATCTTTTACTTTAATGCTGCTTCCCCCAGCCCTCCCCAGTTGTGGGGCTTGAACTCAGGGCCTGGGCACTGTCCCTGAGCTATTTTGCTCAGGGCTAGCACTCTATCACTTTGAAACACAACTTCATTTCTGTTTTTTTGAGTGTTAATTGGAGATATGAGTCTCACAGGGACTTTTCTGCTTGGGCTGGCTTTGAACTGCGATCCTCAGATCTCAGCCTCCAGAGAGGCTAGGATTACAGACATGAGCCACTAGCGCCCAGCTTACTTGAATGCTTTTTAATGCAGCATTCACTTTTTTATTCAAGAAATGCACATTAGGTGCTACACCAGATGCTGAGGATTAACAGGCACCTGTGATCCTGCAATCCTACATTATCTGTGCTCTTAGAAAAGCACTGGACTTAGTTCTTATCAATAAATCATTTGGCATCAGACTCAGGAAAATGTGCACGTGTGCAGTAAGAGGAGACTTTTTGCAGCCTTCCTCTCTCTGGTATTCACAAGGCAGTTGGAGAGACTAGAGTCCAATTGCCTATTCCTGTCATCTGAAACAAAGACAGCTGCTTCATTCTTTCCCTAGCGTTGCTGGACCATAATTCACTCCTGACACAGGGCCCACCTCTGGTGGGGTAGTGCCACAGGAGGCCAGGCTGCTGGCAGCTTTCTTCACTCCCCCACCACATACGAAGTCCTCCACTCAAAGGCGAAGGCAGCTGAGTTCTTTTAAAAGTGAAATCATCTGGATCCGGTGTCCTTTGTCTCCTTGACTAAGTGAATTGCATTTTCTGTTCATGGTGGAGAAGGTCATTCTATTTTTTAACTAGAGTGTCATCTCTGCTGTATTTCCTGACTCCACAGTGGTTGGACAACCTCAACTTTTTATTCTTTTACAGAGACATTCTCAGGAAGGACTGCCTGAAAAGTGCCTTCAGAGAGACATGTTGTGAAATAACAGGATGAGCTTAGATGAGCCAGGCAGCTTCCCAGAGCCTCCAGCAAGCAGGCGGCTAAAATGTTTAAAAGACCATACTTGTGAAAACGCTATTTTAATCACTTTCAAATATGCCTATGCGTTTTCAAGCATCGTGCTGACAGATTTTTTTGTTAGTGGAAGGAGACACACCTGTTCGATTAATCAGCAAACTGCCAGGCAACAGGAATTAACATTAGCCAGAAAGAACAATGGGCACTGATTTCTCAATAAGTCTCTTATCCACACAAAACGTGGCTTGGCTTTGAGGGATTTTTTTTTTTTTTTTTTGGTCGGTTGGCCTGGGCACTGTCCCTCAGCTCAAGGCTCAAGGCTCAAGGCTAGTGTTCTAGCACTTGAGCCACAGCACCACTTCTGGATTTTTCTGCTTACGTGGATTTGATTCTTTTTTACACTATTAGGTTCAAAGTGCAGATGAAGGGGCTGGGAAGGTGGCTCAGCAGTAAAGTGCTTGCCTCTCATGCATGAGGCCCTGGGTTCTATTCCTCAGCACCACATAAGCAGAAAAAGCCGGAAGTGGTGCTGTGGTTCAAGTGGTAGAGCGCTAGCCTTGAGCTGAAGAGCTGAGGGACAGCACCCAGGACCAGACTTCAAGCCCCATGACTGGGGGGTGGGAGAGTGGGGAAGGGGGAGTTGGGGGGGGAGAAGTGCAAATAAAGTGCAGGACTCCAGGGTGAAGGGTGGATGTGCACTCTGTGTACAATGTACTGCAGAGCCTGGGCGCTAGCCCAGTAGTGGCTTGGCAAGCAGCAGGTCTCCCAGGCTGCAGAACAATGTGCTTTCACCCATGGCCAGGGTGCCTGTGATGCAGCCATGACCTGCCTTGGCATAGTCATCTTGCAGGTAACAGAACTGCATGAAGGATCATGTGAAGGTCCCTGCTCCTGAGTCCTGTCCAGCACTCAGCACTAAGTCTACTTCTCAAGCTTTTTTGGCATTCGGGAATGCTATTCAAGAGACCTCTATGCCTTTGTTTCCTTAGAGTCACAGTTAACACCAGTGCACAGAGCATAATCTGTAGCTTTGGGGTTTTTTTTTTTCCGTTTTGTTTTTTGTTAAAACAGTTTCCTTAGGCATTTTTGTTTGTTTATTGGCCTTTTCTCAATGTCTCATTCCCTGGAGTCCCATTCTAGAGAATAGTAAAGGCTAGTAATTCTTAATATTTTCTGTCTTGAAGACCTCTACATCAAGTAGATGAAAGACCATTGCACATTATGTGTTTTTCTCAAAATATCACATTGTTTTCCATATCAAAACCTAGTTAGAGACCCATTTCTGAGCAGTGACCTTGTACAAGGTCAGTGTTTCCAAGAACCAGTCCCAAACTTCTCCTCAAACTGCCAGTGACAGCCAAGAATTAACTCAAGACTATGTTGCTTTTGACAAGTTCTACTAATATTCTGTAACTTTCACATAACTAGAAAAAAAAATTGGGAAAAGCCAGGATGAAGAGAACACTTCCTTTTTTTTCTAAACAAAATGTCCCTTTTCCCTAAAGGCCCAGTGTAATAAGATGGACAGTTGTCTTTTTTTTTTGGTTGGTTGTGAGGGCTGAACTCTGGGCCTGGGCGCTATCCCTCAGCTCTTTAGCTCAAGCCTAGCACCCTACCACTCCAGCCACAGCACCACTTCCGGCTTTTTTCTGCTTATGTGGTGCTAAGGAATTGAACCCAGGGCCTCATGCATGCAAGACAAGTACTCTACCACTAAGCCAACTTCCCAGCCCGAGTGTTGAGTCTTAAAGGTAAACTGATTGGCATATTGCCTAAAGAAGCAAGGCCCAGAGTCTCTCCCACAAATACTCAGCCTGAGTGTCCAGAGTGGAACCTGATAGTTAGAAGGTTCTGGTAAACCACAACTACCCCCATAATCCAACCCCATGAGATAAGGCTACCTTCTGGACTACAATTTAAGGCCACATAATGCCTGAACTTCACCAAGACTGAGTCACTTATGATCTGTCAGATACTATGCTAAGAATTATATCCACACCATCATTTGTAATCCACAGGACTGCTCTAGACATTAGTTAATTCTTGCCCTAGTTCAAAGCTTAGCCTTCTACCACTCAGCAACCCTGTGCAAGGGCATGAAAAGACATGCTCCTCAACCAGTCAGGGCCAGGACCTCTGCTCAGCTGTGTGGGCCAGGAGCCTGGTCCTGCCTCACCCAGTGGCATGTAGACCAGTGAAGGAGTAAACTAGGTAATTCATGTCAATATTCATACACACTCACCCAGATTAAGCATTCTAAGGAAAAGCAGAGAAAAGAAGTAAACAAAAGATTGAAAAAGATAATGACTAACTTAGGTAAAAACAGTTTCCATTCAGTATTTTGCCAAGAGTGAACTTTGTTCTTAAGTAGGTTTATTTTTACAAGCTCTAAGAGCTAAATATAACCTTGCTGGCTGTGCTGGCTGCTGGATTCAGAGGGCAGATGCTGCCTGTTCTCAAATGGCACTTGGGTAGTGTGGAAGCTCTGCACAGCCATTGTCAAATCCAGAAATAGATTCTGAAGGGGTGTGTGCTGACAACCCCCCTTAGGAACCAGGGAGCTCACAACACTATGCTTATTCACTGCATTTTTATTTCTACTTGGAGAGCACCTCAGCTCTCAAAGTAAGCCACTATCAGCTGTTTACATAGTTCTATATCTTTTTTTTTTGTTTTTTTTTGGTCCAGTCGTGGGGTCTGAACTCTGGGCCTGGGCGCTGTCCCTCAGCTCTTCAGCTCAAGGCTAGCGCTCTACCACTTGAGCCACAGCGTCACTTCCAGCTTTTTTCTTTTTGCTTATGTGGTGCTGAGGAATCAAACCCAGGGCCTCATGCATGCAAGGCAAGCGCTCTACCACTTAGCCACCTTCCCAGCCCCCATAGATCTATATCTTAAGTCACAAAACATGTGTTGGGGGTGGGGGAAGAACGCGAAATGCAGATTTTCATCCAATTCTAGCAGAAAGCAGTAAGTTCAAAGCTCTCTTAATGCCTACCTAGAACAATGGTAAATATGTAGGATAGGTACTGGTTTTCTCCTTGATTTGGATCCATACATAGTCAGCCTTCTTTCTTTATTTTTTTTGGTTGTAGGGTTTAAACTCAGGGGATGGACACTGTCCCTGAGTTCTTTTGCTCAAGGTTAGTGCTCTACCCCCTTTTTTTGGGTCAATCCTGGGCACTGTCCCTGAGCTTCTTTTGCTCAAAACTAGAACTCTACCACTTGAGCCACAGTGCTACTTCTGGCTTTTTCTGTTTATGTGGTACTAAAGAATCAAACCCGGGGCTTCATGCATGCTAGGCAAGCACTCTACCAATAAGCCATATTCCCAGCCCCCTGGGGTCTACTACTTTGAGCCACAGCTTCACTTTTGGTTTTTAGGTGGCTAATCCAATTAACAACCTTAATTAATTAATCATTTACGGGCTGGCTTTGAACTAAGAACCTCCAATCTGACCCTCCTGAGCCATAAATGACAGGCAATATATTCAGCCTTTAAACCTAAGGCTTTTCTCTTGCTCCTATGTCCTTCGTTCCTTCCTTCCTTCGTCCCTCCCTCCCTCCCTCCTTTCCTCCCTCCCTCCTTTCCTCCCTCCCTCCCTCCCTTCCTTCCTTCCCCCCCTTTTTTTTCTTTCTTTGCCAGTCCTGGGGCTTGGACTAAAGGCCTGGACTCTGTTCCTGAGCCTCTCTGTGCTCAAGGCTAGCACTTGAGCCACAGTGCCATTTCTGCTTTTTCTGTTTAAGTGGTACTAAGGAGTTGAACTCAGGGCTTTATGCATGCTAGGCAAGCACTCTACCACTAAGCCACATTCCCAGCCAACCCCCCACCCTTTTTATTTTTTTTTTTTTAAGACAGGGTTTCACAGCCTAGCTGTCCTCAAACTTGTGAATGATTTGGCTCAAAAAGATAGGCTGGCTCAATCAGATTTCCTTCTGATATAGAAACTGGAAACTGTGATCAAACTAGATGGCACTAAGAACTTTATAAGGAAGCTTGTGATGCACAAAGGGGACAGTGATAAGGTTGAGGACTCTGGGAAAGCAATAAAAGGAGCAACAACTACATGGGCTGTGACTTAGTGGTGGAGTGCTTTGCCCTGCATGCATGAAGCCCTGGGTTCAATTCCTTAGTACCACATAAAAGGAAAAAGCAGGAATGGCAGTGTGGCAAAGCCACTTTCCCAGCCCAGTATGTGTCTGTGTAATTTAAGTGGGATAAAAAGTGAAGCTGCTGGCTGAAAGACAGCGCAACTGCCACTGCCAGCATCCCCTAGCAACAACTGGAGTTGTAAGTCAAGAGGCAGACGTTGTTATTCCTAGTCTTCAGAGAAATCCTACCCAGAGTCACTTTTGTTCTACTCCACAGCTGGTTACAAAAGGGGGGTAAGGGATACCTGACTCAGTATGAGCAACCTCTAAATTGTTGATTTGGCTCAAAAAGATAGGCTGGCTCAATCAGATTTCCTTCTGATGTGGAAACTGGAAACTGTGATCAAACTACTAAATGGCACTAAGAATTTTATAAGGAAGCTTGTGATACAGAAAGGGGACAGTGATAAGGATTGAGGGCTACTGGGAAAGCAATAAAAAGAGCAGCAACTTCGTGGGGTGTGGAAGGGAAAGTATTGCCAGGTTTTGATGGTACACATCTGTAATCCCAGCACTTTGAGAGACTCAGGCAGGAATATCACAAGTTTAATTCCAGTCTGGACTACATAGTAAGAGTCTATCTCTAAAACAAAAAGAAAGAAAGAAAGAAAGAAAGAGGGAAAGAAAGAAGGAAAGAAAAGAATAGGAAAAAAAGGGAAAAGAAACATTTGGGGAGACAAAGGAAGAAAAGAAAGAAGAGAGTATGTCAGAGATAAGACCCAAAGACAGTCAAATAGACAAGGATGATGAATGCTTTCTAGGTTCCTCAGCTCTCCAAATCCTGCTACATGTATTTTGTCAATACACTTCCCCCTTTTGTTTGTAGTATCCTGAATGGGCCTCTGTCCTGTGTCTCTGTTCAGATAAACATATAACCCGGACACAGAGAGAGGATCAGGAAGCTGAAATCACCACATGCTGACAGTCACAGCCATTAGCAAAAGCTGCTTCCATAGCATCTTACTTTGCTGTTTCTCCTTCCAACAACTCGTCTGGATGTAATCGATATAATCTTTCTCTATTGCTTTCTCCAGGTCATGAAGAGAAGCTCCTCTGTAGGCCTTGTCAAAATTTTTATCCACAAAGTAAGGCACCTGCAAGTTCTGAGTTTCTCTAGAAATGGTATAGCCTAGGGTTCTGAAACAAAGAGAGAGGGGCATAGGTGAGCTTGTAACATTAGGCACTCTAACTCTAGCTCAGGCTGTTAGCGATCATGCTCGTAATCACTTCATAGGAGATTCCATTAGCTAATATACCCAACCCTTACGATTCCCTAGCAAAGTGGTAAATAGAAAATCATCATTATTGATGTATTACATGAGCAGGTTCATCCTGCAGATACAACTTCAGCATATATAGTTATTTCCTTCAAGGATTTGTATGTCTTAGCTGACTTTTCATGTGAAGAGAGTGCTGAATGCCGAAAAACAATTTGAGTCTGGGGTGGCACGTGCCTATAATCCAAGTGCTTGGGAAGTAGAGGCAGAGGGATCAGGAATTTAAGGCAAGATCAGATCCTGTCTCAAACAAACAAAAACAAAGCAAAAAGCCCAACCAGGTGCTGGTGGCTCATGCCTGTAATCCTAGCTACTCAGGAGGCTGAGATCTAAGGATCATGGATTGAAGCCATCCTATGTAGAAAAGTCTGTGCGACTCTTATCTCCAATAAACGACTCAGAAAAAGCTGGAAGTACTGTGTGCCAGTGGTTCATCCTATAATCCTAGCTACTCAGGAGGCTGAGATCTGAGTATCACTGTTCAAAACCATCCAGAGCAGGAAAGTCTGTGAGACTCTTATCTCCAATAAACCCACTAGAAAACCAGAAGTGGAGCTGTGGCTCAAGTGGTAGAGTGCTAGCCCTGAGCAAAAGAGTCTCAGGGACAGTGCCTGGGCCCTGAGTTCAAGCCCCAGAACTGGAAAAAAAAAAGAAAAAAAGAAAAAAGAAAAGAAAAAACAACTGAAAGAATGAATTCAAGAGCTAGCTATGGTGGTTCACACATGTAATTCCAGAATTTAGGAGACTAAGGCAGGAGGTTAAGGCGGCCTGGTTATATAGAGAAATCCTATTTCTTTTTTTTTTTTTTTTGTCGGTCATGGGGCTTGAACTCTGGGCCTGGGTGCTGTCCCTCAGCTCTTCAGCTCAAGGCTAGCGCTCTACCACTTGAGCCACAGC